ATGTTCTGTTGTTTTGTATACTTCATCTGTTTGTATGTTGTATACTCATTGTTTGTTAAATAAAGTAAAAAAAAAAAGAAAAAAAAAAAGGCCAGACTGTCCCATTTCACAAGTCTCTCACTTCCGCACTTCTCACGTAGTGCGCGTAGTGCGCGTACTTCAAGCGTGCAGACCCTGAATTGGACACAGCCCATGACTCAAACTAAAACTTAGCTTAGCCATAACTTAGCTTAGCTTAGCCATATCCCCCACTAGGTAAAATGAGTGAACAGAAAATGTAAAGAGCAATAAAATTGACAAACTATCCTTCTAAAACAGGAGATATAATGTAACTCACCAATCTTGTGTACACACACTCTGAAAGAAACCACATACACTGCCCCAAAGCATAATTTCTGCAGATTCATACTGATTCACACTGCCTCCTTGAACACCATTTCGCATCCCAACAGAACATTACTCACAAAAACGACCGCGCCCTCTAGTGGTGAGGCAAACTGCATCACAGTCCTGCCTTCAGAATAACTAGTACTGACAACGTCAGGGTCACGACATTTGTATATACTTGATATCTGATTGTACGGAAATTTGTATTGTCAAGGCTCCCAAATATGCTATGTCATTTCGTATATTAGATGGGAATCTGTGAGGACTGAGTAGGAGGAGGAACAAAGGCCCACCAACCAACACTAACAAAATCTAAGTTGTCACACATAATATAATTTGTTTTCTTGTAATTAGTTTTAACTATAGGATCAGATCAGTGATATTTTGATTAAATCTAAAATCTTTATAATAGATGATCATCTTTAAATTATTTTCCCCAAGTCTTGGCAATGAGAGAATGTGAAAAATAATTGTTCTAAATTGCATGCATCGTAAACTATTTCAGTTTATTCTTTTTTCAAAAAGCTTTTCTTCAAACTAGAACTTAACTACTGTTAAGATTGTTTGTAGCGTTGGGTCTCATCACCAGTGACGCCTCGCTCAGAGGGTTAACTTGACTTTTGACAGGATTCTTATTACAAAGGCCACTAGAGGGCGTTTACAGCACACGAGTCTAATCATGTTTCAGATAACATTGTAGAATCCTGCCAATATAACATTTAAGTATAAATAAATTATTATTAATAAAAACTATTTAATATATTTAATATTAATTATAATACACTCATACACTGGCACACATCAATTTATATAAAAGAGGGGGAGATGATACTTCTCTTGTCTTGTAGTCATGATATATATGTGTGTGTGTGTGTGTGTGTGTGTGTGTTGCTCATCTACACTCCAAACATAAAAAAGGATTGAAGGATTTAATGTTAAACATTAGTCCTCAAAAGAGAAAGTCGATTTCACTATGAAATGGCCATCCCACTTCTGCGTTTATGTACACTGGAGTTGGCCCGGGTGTGGCTTCAAAAAAAATGTTGGTCTGTGTCCAAAGTGCCCGGTGTTCGTTATAAAGTGACCGTGACAGTCTGCAAGTTAGAGACTCAGACATGTCCAACGCGAAGGCAGCTGCCGTCATCGGGCTGGGAGTGGGTGCAATGCTTATCACACAAGGTGGAGATCCGCTGGACTCTGTGGGCAGCTGGTACCTGATATGGAGCGAAATGGGCTTACGCGGTGCCCCAGCCCTGGCCTTCTTTTGCTTCTCCGTCGGTGTTCTTTTCTTCGCTATAGGCTGGCTGTACCGGCAGCTCTTCAGTCCTTTCGAACTGCTCAGGTCGCCCGAAGACGTGGGATACGTCGAGGAGGACGGTCGCACCAAAGCGCAGGCAGCCAACGACGCCAGGCGCAGGAGGAAAATTGGGGAGCTCCCACCGGTTTACCCAAACGGCTGGTACCGAGTCCTGGACTCACACATGCTGCAGAGGGGCGAGGTCAAAAGTGTGTCTATTCTAGGTACGATGCATAGTGGTGGTTGGATCACTGCTCTTAACAGGGAATAACAGAAGAAACACAGTTACGTTACAGTATATGGTGTGCAAATGCTAAGTAAAAGAAACAAAAAGCACCAGCAGTTGTAATTAGCAAAAAATAAAAATTAGGCTATATATGTGTTCAATAAAAGTTTGGGGGATATTAAATGTGTGCTAGCAGCTTACTTTGGACTTTGGAAATTAGACAATGATGTAATGACCCTTCGTGACTGTTAAAGTTTAACTCAAAGTTTGATTGAGTGATTAGACCGAGCATTGTAGGCTTATATGTAGGCTTATTTTTACATGTGTTTATTCGGCTATGCGTGACTTTCAACAATATCAGAAATTCCATCTGCAGGGCTTTTCCACATAATTTATGGCTGACATAATTTTAATAATGGATAGTTGTTAATGGTTAGTTATTTTTGTCAAAACTGCATTTTTGAATGAGTAAACAGATTGCTGGTTGTTTTCTGGGTGCATGGTGAAAGTGTGGGGTACAGTATGGGGTAAAGTACAAATGCACCAAATTCAGTTTGCCCCCATCATGTGGGATAAGCTGAATTTCTTTCCATGCAGTCAGGTAAGTGTTACAAGTGCCCGACACAGAATTATTTAAACTTTCATTCTCAGGTGTGTAAAAGAATAAGTGTGATACTTATTGAAGCACAGCAAGTAACATTATTGTCAGACCTTTAGTTGTTTGCCACCTTTCCAGCAACCTAGATGTTTGCTATCTCATCCAGGTAGGACTGTTGCCAAGACAGACGAAACAAGCTCACATTACAATATTTTTGGAATTCAGGGAATGTAAAAGCATTTCAACACGTTGGCCAAGCCTTTGTTAAGAAAACGGTTGTGCATTATGGTGCTTAGTAACATTTTTTCTTTTACACAAAGGTTCAAGCTTTCACCTGCATGTTTGGTTTGAAGGCGCCTTGGAGACACAGTGTTGCCATTACTGATGTTAATTACTTCACGGCAACATTAGTGCTTTGAAATAAGAGCTAGTTCCTTCATTAATTAATGCATTAATAATTTTCTTGATTAGAGAATTAGAGAAGAAAACTTTAATGAATGCACATTTTCTAGAGCCTTAGGTTTGTTTTATAATTGTTTTTTTAATCATTCTTCTAACTTGCAAGAACTCTTCATTTGAATATCTAGTGTTTATTATTTTTCTAATCCAACACTTGTCTATTATTACATCACATTTTATTATTAAGATCTGTCTCTAATGATAAGGTTTGATGTGTGAGCACTAGCTGAGCCCTTTGATCTCCTGCAACAGGTTTTTCTGTGATCAACAACAAGACGGTCTCATCACTGATGGCCTAAAGTTTATGTGTATTTCAGAAAGACGAAGCACTGATTTAACCGCTGTTGTGTTTCACTTACAGATTTGTGCTTCTCATGTTGATATGTGGTGGGACTGTTTGATCTCTTCAGAGAGTTTCTTTGAGTTTGAGTTCAAAAGGGTTTCAAAGAGCCAGTCGGGCTTTTTAGGTTTCTGTCACATAGCTTTCAGTAAATGACAAACAAACAGTGTATGAGAGGATTTCACACCTGGAAAAGATATCCACCGGTAAAAAGTGAGACCTGCTCTTGTGGATTCAGCTCACAGTTGTAAATAACAGTCATCTTTTCATCAATTGCTCTTTAAGTGAGTTACACAACTTAGCAACATACTGTAATCCTTAGAAAACGAGGGGCATCACTGTGTGCCTGCCCTGTCTGCAACACCCTTCATAAAGGAAAAGCAAACATCATCGAACAACAGTTGAGTTAGGCTGTTGTGCTGCAAAAGTCTCCACCAACTGACTTCACCAAATACAATCTTTCACGTCAGTATACAGTTTATTCGATCTTACAATCAGAGTTAGCACAGCTGTCATGGAAAGTAATCTACTGGTCTTCACATCAAGGTGGAGCTGTAGTTTATTAATGCAATCTTCATTAATGTTCGTGGAGACCTTTTCATTTGTTTGTTCGTTCTGTATTCATAGAACGACTCATTTAATAGATCATTGCATTTTTAGATTTGTATGAGGGTTTGGCATTGTAGTAATACACCGTTCTCAAGGGCTAGGTATGTCCCAGGCCTGCGTGAGTGTGAAGGCAGGCGGACTGAGATGAACAAAAGAAAGCTATTTATTAAAGGCTGGTGGCAGGATTGAACAAATGCAAAACACAGAGTACAAAGGAAACTGAAAACTACAACAACTTGAAACCTAAACGTGGAAACACACTAAGGCCAAGAAAACAATGAAGCTAGGAAACAAAGAGGGAGGAATAAAGCTGGAATCTCATATTTAAATGAGATTCAGATTTATTTCTCCCTCTAGAAACTAGAAAGTTAAAAAAAAATCAGCACCATAACAAAGCCACACTGTTACAAAAAACATCTTAAAAAAACGGGAATATTCCAGCAGCTGGGGCACCAAAATACTACCGTAAAATAACAGAAAATAACTTTTTCATGAAAATACAGTTATTTTCAGTAATGAAAATAGAGTTTGTTGCGCTAATTTTACATCGGATTCTGCCTTTTCCAAGTGCTTTTAGACATCAAATTAGGAACATTTTAACGTGATCAAACAATGTTTGATGTTTGATATGTTTATTGATTAGCATTCAAATATCTCAGTGAAGACAGAACAAATATTTACCACAAAGCAAGAAAGCATGAGACAAGGCTAATCAAAAGGTATTGGCTGAAGCATTTGCTTATTACGCCAACCCTTTTAACAAAAGATCTTTTAGCATGCAGCTCCTGTACACAGGGCTCGAAGCAAATAATAAAA